CTCGTCCCTGGGGAGGGCACCTGCGTCCTCGTGCTGGAAGCCCAGGTTGGTGTGAGCCTCCACCAGTTCTGACACCGTTGGGGGGGCGTCTGGGTACCGCGCCTGCGCCCGCTTCTGCTTCAGGCCTTTGCACCAGCTGATCACATTAATAATGGTGATCCACAGCGAGTCAATGATGATTTCCCCAAACTCAATGAGGCACAGCACCGAGCCTCCCATCCAGAACCCGAACTGGCCTCCCAGGCTTGACAGCAGCCAAACGATCTGCGGGAAGGAGAGCAGGAGTGAGCCAAGGTGGTGGACTCCGGTCCCTGCTCAGCCCTGCCCATCACCGTGCATGCTGGTGCTGAGCCAGGTGATGCTCCTGTCCCTGGGACCTGCCTGCCGAGTCCCTCGCCTTGCGGGTGCCGCTCTGCAGGGGCTGCGCTCCCTGGTGCTGCTTCTCAATGAGCTGCCCCGCACTGGTGAGGGGACAGGATGTGGGGGGGAAGAACGAACCAAGGGCTGCGAACTGGCCGGTGGAGGTGGCTTCATCTGCGTCCTCACCACGGCCACGTGAAGCAGCAGCACCGAGGGATGCGGCAGACTCCCAGTGAGGGGCATCTCCGGCCGGGGCTGATCAGCCCCGAGGAGCTGAGCCCTGACTGTGTGTCTGGGGTGACTTGTTTCGGCGTCTGCTCGCCAGGCGCTTGCAGCACGTTGCGGCACTGGGCAGAAGGGCAGGGATGGGCACTCACCGTCGTGGCGGCAGACTCCGAGATGGTGCGGTAGTTGTACTCCTGGAAGTAAATGTTCAGCTTGATGATCCCGTTTCTGTAAGGGACAAACGGCAGCTCAACACAGAGCCGGGCCGCGGGCATCCCGCACCTCTGCTCCAACGCCAGCTCGCCAGCCCGCGGGAAGGGCTGCGCAGAGCCCGGCCGGAGCCGCTCACCAGCGTCCACTGAAACTTCTGCCAGGCACGTGGAAGAAGTTAAAAAGTGCCACTGGCTGCGAAGGGAAGAGACGCGGTTCTGAAGTTCCTGAAGTTTGGGCACCTGGAAGCTTTTTTGGGGCTGTTTGCTTTGTTTTTCCCAACCGCCCTGGTTGGTCTAGAGGGGCCATTGCCCCTCCTTGGTGCCCTGCACCTTGGGTTCCTGTGTGCACGCGCAGAGCGGCTGCGTCACGGCTGACTGCGTTACAGGGGGCTTAAGGCATACAGATCAGCCAATCTCCGTAAAAGCGTTTCCTGCTTGTCTAATTTTTTTTTCCTTTGGAGAAAAAACCTCCTCTTTCCCCCCTAATTCAAGGTTTAGGTTCTCAAAGGGTAACTCACCAGTTACCCTGATTTTGGTGCATCCCCCCTGCTGCTGCTGCTGGCAGATTCAGAGATGCAAGTACGAAGGGATGGACGTTAGAGTCCAGGAGCTGGACCCTGGGGGTTCACAGCTTCAGAGCTTCCAGACTCCTACATGGAACTGATTCGAGGTGCTGCGGTTAACGTCGATTTTAACTTAACTGCGCATTTGAGTTTGTCTGACCCAGTTTGTCACTATGGAGAGCAGAGGATATGCATGAAGTGCACTTTATGTATCTTCCAGGCAAACAGGCGCCGAATCTTGTCCTCCCTTTGCATTAACACACATGTGCTCTGGCCCATTGCCAAGGTTCATGTTAATCTAATGTTAACAGGCTCAATAGAGAAGATAAAGTGGTTATTCCTTTCACTTACCTGTCCAGAGTCACATTTGTTGACATATCCCTTTCATAAGACAGAATATGGAAAATCCAGTCCTAGGAAAACAAAATTTACTCAGAACCGAGCAGAAGCATCCTCTCTGGGGCAGGAACCCAAGGGAGTTGCAGGACTCGGTGAGGGACCCCCGGGGAGGAGGAGCACTGTGGGGGGTGTCCCCGCTCCTGTCTCATGCCCTGGCACTGGGGATTGTTTGCATGCTGAAAATGTGTAATTTAGCAAAGAGGCACGTGCTACCCGGACATTAGCTCTGAAAATACTGAGTGATTCATGGGGCTAAGAACAAGTAATTATTAACGAATGTTTCAAAGCAAGAAATCAGTGTTACCTCTGAAGCTTCAGACGGCCAGTCTGCCATGGAGATGGTCATCTTATACTGTGTGTCGCTGGAGAGAGGAAAGGAGAACATTGGTACACAAGTTTCCCCTTCTCTGAAGTCACTGGAACTTCAGTTCTCATGCAGAAAAGCAGCCCTGCATGATTTGCTGCCATTTTAGAAAGGTCAGAACTGATGGGAGATGAAATGCAGGATCCCCTCCACCTTTACCGCTGCCAGAAATGGTGTATGTACTTACTTGCACGTTTCCTTACAAGAGTCAATACAAATCTGTCTGTGCCTTATACTTGATCTCAGTGATGAATAGCAATATGCTGTTTGGTGAAAACAAAAAAATCAAAGCGTCTATTTAGATAAGATCCCCACTTATTGGATTATATCAATTTCATTTAATAAAATGAAAATTTAGGTATGAGCCTGCTGCACAGGTTTGCTAACCTTCCCTTCCTCGAGAAACTCGGACAAAGTGGTCCGACAATTTAAGAATAAATAAAAAAAAAATTTTAATTTTCTGCAGACAGTTTATAGAAACTGTCAGCTTGCCCGATATCAGTGGTTTTTGGCCCAGCCCTGGCCAGCTGCAGGGGTAGGTGGGCAGCTGCCTGCGTGGAGCCGTGCTGCTGGGCTCTGCCCAGTTGTGGGGGAGCACAGACCCCCCCCAACCTGTGTGCATCCTTGCCGGAGCCCGTTGCCCCTGCTCGGGGCAGTTTGTCTCTGAACTCTTCAGGCACAGAGGCCTGGAGCATGACCCCTTTTCCATCTCTTTGGTACCCAGAGGCTCCCGTGACCTTCCCCGGCTGGAGCTGGATGGCCCGGGGACCTTCCCCGGCTGGAGCTGGCTGCCCGGGAGAGACCTGCCTCAGGGCAGCATGGAAGCTGAGGCCCCTCAGCCCCAGCCAGGACCAAGGTTTCACCCCTTCTCCCCGGTACTGACCCAAACGGCCACGGGGAGACTGCGCACAGGCAAAAGCTGTTCACCTGTTGCATTTACAACAGTAACAAAGCTCCTGTCCGCTCCCACCCCTCCTGCGTGCCAGGACCCTGGGAAGGCTGCGCAATCAGTTTTGTTCATGTTCTTACCCCAACCTGGGTTATCTTCGTTATTGCAATAATTTACCCCTTCAGGTAAAGGAAACATATAATGACCACATCCACAGATTTCAATCATGTGATTTTGGAAACAAGAGCGCAGGCAAGCCTGAAAAAAGGGAAGAGGGAGCTGCTTAGACGTGGGCTGAACCTCCCTGCCTGCCTCTGTGCTGCTGGAGTCTGCGCTGGCTATGAGAATTACTCGACCCTGAGGTATTTTCTCTCTCTTGCGCTGCACGGCTGGTTTTGTGGCTGCACGCAGAGAAGGCTGAAGCCACACAAGGAGGGGGTGCTGCCAGAGCCCATCCCTGCCCGATGGCGCGATCCCATCCTCCAGCGTGCACGGAGCATTGCCAGGCACTACGGCAGGCTCTGGAAGCCTGGCACAAGTCACACGGGCTTTAGAACGGAGAGACAAGGTGGGTGGGTAAGCTGCCATGTGTAGAGTTGCGCTGCAGTTAGGGTTTTCTTTATGATGCGTTCTTACTGCTGCTCCTCCCGGTTTTAAGGTACGTCCCAGTTGTGAGTTGCCCATGGGTACGTCACCTCGCAGGAGCAGGAGGGAACTCAGTGCCTGCTCCCAGCTGCACAAGAAACTGCTCATTTCTTAACTATTTAGGGCTTCGTGGAAGTAATACGGAGTTTCCAAAAAGGAATCAAAATGTTCTACTACACTCGTGGACACTGCGGTTGTCTCCAGGCTTTAGACGACATACTGACAAAGGGCTGGTTTCCACTCTAAAGCAGGGACTCTAAAAATACTTCAACATAAAGAGCAGGTTTTAGAAATCTGAATTATCTTATCTGTGCATCTGCTTCTCTCCTGGAAAGGATTGCAGCCGCAGCTTCGGCAGCGTGCGAGCCAGGCTGCAGCACTGCCATTAGCTCAGCGAGGCATGAAGTTAATCATCCGAGATTGGAGTGGGACTCGGATGAAACAGTGCACAAAGCAATAACAAAGTCTATGAAAAGATAATTAAATTTAACAGCTCCAGCTAGGTAGAACAACCAGAGAATTTCTGTGTGGTACAAAATGCTTACAGAGTTCACTGCAGTCAGGGAGTGATGGAAAAGCCGGGTTTTCCTGAGAGGTCTCTGAAGTGATGTGAATTATGTGGACATAGAACCCCAGCCAGCATTTAGCAACTTTTAAGTAATACTGCAATCATTTCAAGTATTTGCTTAAATGTTATATAAGCATCTTTAAAAGTAGGGTAAAGCGGTCCAATTGTTATAATTACATATAGGCAGAAATATAAAACCCCTGCTAGACCAAAGCCCTCCCAACTTGTCTGGGGTGTACTCTTCAGGCTTTTGTAAATAACCCCCAAAATGGTTTTGATGTTTTCCTTATTGCCAGATCTCACCCTCCAAAAATGCTTCTCCCTTATGTGATAGCCTGTTACAAATTAACCAGCGCTTAATGTTTACACTATATTTTTCTTACAGATTCAAGGTTTACAAACACTCAACTTTCTCATCCCAGTTTTAAAGTGAAGAAAAGGCAAAGGTCTGTCTTCATTTCCTATACAAAACAAGCAGGCATTTTCAGGGGAAAAAAATTACTTAATTCTCTTTAAGAGAAAAGGATTAAAAGGGCAGAAGTGTTCGGGAGAGAAATCACTCCTGTATATTCCTCTCCTGTCAGGGATAAATACTACTTGTGTACACAAAATACAAGTTTCTTTGCACATTAGAGCAACGCCATGGCTAAAACTCAGAGCACAACAGTTCTCCAGATAGCTTTTATCCCTGCAGCGTGCCCCGAGCAGCAGCAGCCACCCCATCTCACGAAAAGTGTCGCATTAACGTCTCCGCAAAAGCTTCCCAGAGCCGCGGTGACCGTTCACGTTGCAGGACGGTGCCTGCGGTTGCTGCGGATGGAGCAGCTTTGCCGTCCTGGTTACGGCAGCGCAAGAAGCTCTGGTGATTGCTCAATAACTCCTTGAGTTTAGAGAAGTTAGCCCGTCGGACATGGGTAATGACTAGAGTCTACCTCTTGCTGGTTGATCTACGTATAATTAAAAGATTTCAGCCAAGCATGGAAGTTGTAGGGACAAAAAGATACTCTCACGGCTGAAAAAAAGAAATTAATTGCCTTAACGACATGGCATGAACAGTTATTCTTTTTAAAGGAGAAAAACTGCTCCGCAGCCTCCTGTGGCTTAGGTGGGCAGCCGGCAGAGGAGCGTCGGGCTAACGCTGTGCCTGTCCCCGTCCGGAGCAGATCGGGTCCCCGCTGCTGCCCCCGAGGTCCCTGCACGGAGCCTGGGACTCCGCGCTCCCAGCCGGACACTCTGGAAGATGTCTTTTCCCAGTGTTTCCTACATTATTAAGGAACCGGCATTAGCCAAAGCTACTGGGAGTTTCAGCCCATTTCAGACGCTCTCCCCTACAACCGGGGCTGCTTGGGGAGCCAAAAGGGGGGAAACTGAAGAACCAGGGGTTTTTAAGGGACCCAGGTGCACCTTGTTCTGGCTTTGCCTGGTTTTCAGGATGGGTGGGAACCCTCCGCTTTGGGGAGCCGAGCTCTGAGGTGACAGCGTACGAGGAAAGGACCAGCATTAAACTGCGCTTATATATATGGAAGTAAAAATATTGGCTTTTTTGTTTGCAAGTTAGTAGGTGACACATAGCAGGGTCCTGTGTAACAGCAGAGATCCGGGGGTTTGCTGTGCTTTAGGCTTTTAAGAAAATTACAGAAATGACCATTTTCATCCCTCTCAAAATGAAACAAACTTCATACCTGGCTAAGGACACAATACCTACTGATGCCCTTTCCTGGCCGTACGAGTTGTTTTGAGTGAAGATTACATTAAGCTGTGCTGCCTGCTGGAGCAATGTTCCTTATCTTTTGAAGCAAGTTTTAATACTTGCATCATCAGGTCTTGCTCCTGCAAGACAGTTATTTCCACTGGATCCACTGGGATCATTTCCAAGCCTGGGGCTATTGAGTGTTCAGACTCAAGTGCCCGTTTATTACCAGAAAAGAAGGTTCCCATGTTTAGGTTATGCTTTCTACTTTATCATTGCTGATGCTCCAGTAATCCTGCATGCTGGTTAAAGACTTTTCCTAAACAACCCTGTTTGATTTAAAAACATGTTTTACCTGTATGGAATAGGAAGTATTATATTGGCTATAGAGATTTTTTACAGGGACATCAGACCCGTTCATGGTGCAGTCACTGTAGGGATAACCCATCCGTTCCAGTTCATCCTGAAAGAAAACCAAAACAGCAAACTTCAGTAGCTAGAGCTCCTCCCCAGGTCCCTGGTGCCCATTTTCTAGAGACTCTGTAATTCCTGTATTCCCTAATGGCTTTGAAAAAAATCAAAGAATCATTCAGCGGCAGAGCTGAAAGAGATGCAGCCCATTCCCCAGGGCTGGATCGAGGCAGATGAAGGTGTTCAAGAGCAGCATGTTTTAGCAAGGCACCTTCTGACATGCTAAAGGAAGAAGGAACAATAACCTGAGCTCAATATTTTGGCTTCAGTAAAGCACTTTGCCAGGACAGTTACATAAAAGTCTCCATAAACTGTTCCAGCCCACAGCTAGCGTATACCTTGACTCTTTTGGTTTGAGCCAGTTCAGCCAAGACTTAAAACAAACTTGGTTGCAGTCCCATCAGATAACATTATTCTCAGACAATCTGCTCTAGAGGAATGCCAGACATACCACTAACACGCCGATGGAGGTTTCTGTCCCGGCCATTGCATAGATGCCCTGATCCTTAAGGAAGGGGAAGCTCTTCTGTTGATGCAGCATGAGCCTGGCCCCGGCAGCGGATGACAGGTAGGGGATATAGTCTTGCTGGCTGATGTCCAGAATTAACTTCAGCCCTGGGACACCAGACAAGACACTCAGAACAGGAATTGTATAGAAATGCGAGTCTTTGGGAAAAAATGGAGTCTATTTTCTCATTGTGCACAGAAATCTGTTCCTTGGAGAAGAGCCTGGGTCTGGCTGTCATGGCAGCCTTGCATGTGCATAAATACACACGATGGTGAATGCACAGGATGGAAAGATCTGATTGACTATTCAGACATTGCCTCGAATATTTCAGCCATCCAGATGTTACACTTCTGCAAAGTAACATCTGTAGTCGCATTGCTTGTTTCTATGTGGCACATTTCCCTTCTGGGGGCTTTTTCCCTCCTGGAAAGGTTACTCCCTGCTGTAGTGCTCCAGAGACACAGAAATCATAAATCTGTTGTATCTCACAGAGATGGCCACTGAGAGACAGAGTAACTCCCAGCACTTCTGGTCCTTTAGCTCCTTCCTCCTTAGCAGAGCGCGCTCTTACCAAACTCAGCTCCGGGGTTGGAAGAATTCAAAGCCTCTTCGTCCATGCCCCAGTTAAAGATGTAGCAGTTACCGTGGTCTGGGTGGTAGATTTGAGTGAAATTCCTGGAAGAATCATGCACATAAAACTGTGACTCTCGGGGAGGACTAAAGGATTATAAAATAATGCATCTGGTAGGACTGCTTTTTGGCAATTACATCTGGGATTCACTTTAAGTTGCTCCATTTGTTGAATGCCTGTATAGAAATTTCAGCTGATATAATTTCAATCTGCTGTTGGAAAAAGGCAGAGCAAGGTACTGGTGTGTACTGAGGCGCAGCCACTGGGGATAATGCTTTGTCGGAATGGAAAAGAATCATCTGTCACACAGATGAGAGAAATAATTGCTTGATCTGAGCTACGCTAACAGGTTTTGGCTGGTGTTATATCGTTCTTTGAAAATAATTCTCTGTTGCCCTCTTTGCAGAAGGGGCATTGCAGAGGGGGCAGGACTCCTTGCAGCCTGGGCTGCCCCTGTGCGCTCGCGTTTCTCAAAGCTGGATATCTAAATTTGGCGTTCATAAGAAACGATGGCTAAAATGCATTTATCGGAGCTTTGTGTAAAAAGAACGGGGGGCTGTAACCAGGGGCTGCACTGCTGTGCCAGCAGTATGCTGACTCAGCACCTGTGCTGGCAGGTCCCATCCTGGGTCCCATCCATGGACGCTGTTAGTCTTGATGTGTCATGAGCAAAACCGCCCTTCCAAAACTAAAACTAAAGCCAGCACTACCCCAAAATAACTTGTTTCAGCCAGGATCACATCCAGAAACCCTCTGGGAAATGTTGTTAGAGTTAAGAACCAGCAGAAATCTCTTTATTAACTGATATATACCTTAAAAAGAGAAAAGAAAAAGGCTGTCATGCCTTTAGCATCCTGTACCATTCCTGATGTGACAGAGAAGGGCAGGGAGCTCGGTGTGCACCTACTTGTAGTTGCAGGGTTCAGCCCCATAGAGACACGCCAGGATCATGTCTTCTGCCTGGTAGCCCATCTTGATTCTCTCTTGCAGCGGGACTTTGGAGAGGATGCTCGTGGACTGCAGGATGTACCACTCGGTCACCGCCTGCGCCGCGCTGGTGAAGTTCCTGTAGGTGCAGTTGTCGGGGCCCTGATGGCTGCACTGGGGACACACAGCAGGCAGGTCTGACCCCGTCCCATGGCGGGGGACGGCAGGAGGGACGTACGGCATGGCATGCCCCCTCTCCCTGCGCGCGCTCGGCTTGATGCCAGTCCTGCCTGCTGCTCCCCGGGAAATGGGAGGTACGGCCAGACGGGAGCTGCGGAGCC